AGGTCAGATTTTTGTTTGACCTGACCTGATCCTCTCAGTTCAGGTAACTTGATTGACCTGACCTGAACTGACCTGTTTGGAGCTCTAACGCTAGTTCTAGTTATTAGTTAATGAAATAGATGGTAAATCCTCTTCAATCTCTGTTATTGAGCTAGGTAAAGTTAAGCAAACCATGTATATAATATTTTTATAATGCCTAACATAATCATAAGTGTTATCCTTTTATTTTCATATAATTAGAATGTATGCAATTTCAAGGAAATATAATACCAAATGAATCCTAATCATCAACCTTATATTCTGAAAAGATTTTTTTAACATGGAAAGCATGTGAAAACTTCCTTAATGAATGGATTAAAAGATAAGGATTTCAAATTATAAAAGCTCATGTATACTAAGATGATAGTGTTATACGTCAAAAAAGTTTTATGTGTGATCATAGACATTTCTACAAATCAAATTCAACAAGAAACATAGTCATGAAAAAATACAATATCTTTTTATAGTTAACGTATCATATTCAAAGATCAATAACCCTGAAAATAATATAATCATCAACAAAATTATTGATAATCATAACCATCCTCCAAATAGAAGTCAAGTCAAATTTGAAGATTGTAAAAAATTTATTGATGAAATGCTAGTTGATATAAAGTTCATGACAGAAAACTGTAAGTTCAGAGCTACAGCACAAAGAAAGTTCTTAGAAAATAAATACCCAATACAGCCAATTTATTCAAAAGATCTATACATGACAATACAAAACTTCCATCCTACTAATAAATCCTTATCTAATGACGCTACATAAATATGTTCATATATAATTTATTATAGATATATACATCTAGGGTATATAATAAGATTTAATGTTTGGATTTATAGGTTTCCAACTGACTTGATCAGCAGAAAAATGATGATACACGTTGAGTTATTGTATATAGATAGGATAGTGACAATACTTTAACTTACCTACTTTGGATGATGTTGAACTAGATTGAACATTGGATACAATACTCTGATTGCGTTTTAAATGATATCACCTATAAAACAAATTGTTATGGAATGGCATTATCATTATTCGTTAGATTTAATAATGATCAAAATATATTATTGTTATAGGCACTTTTACCTGACAAAAGTGCTAATTCACATATTTGAATATTTTGGAAAATCGTCAAAGTAACTAATATTTATCTAGCTATTATTCTTACTGATACAGATCTGGCAATTGATGCTGCAATTTGTCAAGTATTTATCACAACTTATCTAATTTACTGCGCCTATTATATTACTTAAAATTTATATAAGAATCTTAGAAAGATACTAGTAGAAATATATAAAAAGTTTCTTGAAAACTTTTATCAATATCATAAGCTGATTCAAGATTATCCTAATACATGAACTTATTTAGAATTTCTTTATAAATTAAAGATGTATTAGGCGCATTGTTTTACATTTTTTAATTTTACAGAAGGCATGATTGCTACATCGCGTGTAGAATCTGTAAATACAAGCTTGAAATGTTTATTATATTATTCAAATGTTTCACTATGTGAACTTATAACCAAATTAACAGACTGCTAGATATTCAAGACAAGGAGAACAAGTATAGATTTTAGCAGTTCATGATTCTGGCTATTAGAAATCAAAATAAAGAAAATTTCCTATTTAATAATATAGATAATTATATCAAAAGATTTCTTACACTGACAATCTTATAAATGTAGTGAAACGAGATCAATCAATCAGTTTATTATATTGCAAATATTATTATAAAGGAAGTTTCAGAAACTTCTGATTAAAATATCAAATTAAATAATAATCAGAGAGAATTTAATGTTGATGATGCACAAATTACCTTTAACCAGCTGATCAATTTTGTAAGATCAGAAAATATACAAGAGATATGAGCAATTAAAGTTAGTAATACATTAAAGGTCAAATATCATATTTTATTGTTAAAAAATTGATCTCACATATGTTCTTGTCTTTCTATTATACGATGTGATATAGTATGCAGGCATTATTTTTAATTAATGCTAAATACAAATTCAGCAATATTTCATATCAAAATGTTATCTTCACACTAGTATTGTAATAAGAAAAATAAAGCAAAAGAATCCTTTATAGTTGCGGACAAATACTCTCAAAACCAATCTATTAAAGTTACTACTAATTGTACAGTTCCATATTTATATCTTTTTAAACAAGAAACAGATTTTAAAGAAGAAAATTTAATGATCCTTAAACAAAAAATAACATATAGAAATATTGGTGACATATATAAGAAAGCACTTAATAAAGCATTGCAAAGCAAGAAAAAATCTCAAGAATTAATGAAAATGCTTCAAAATTTTGTGGAAAATGATATTGATGATTAGTTAGATTTAGAAGATATGCAGCAGAATGATCACTTAGATAAAGAAAATATTGATCCATCTATTTGCCAATTGCAAAATCTGAAAGTTCGTCATGGTAAAGGCCATTCGGTTGGTACTAAAAGGTATAAATCAAAACATAAAGTATCAAATATCAAGGCAAATCAATGACAATGTAAAAAATGTAAAGGTATTGGGCATTATCAAAAGAACTGCAAGGAAGGTTAGAAGGATTAATTTCAATTCATCTTATATAAATTGCATTTATTATAATCAAATAATAAAGTCAAAGTCACATAACTATTGATCACGTAATATTATAATTAATAAATCTAAATCATATGATCTACTATCATGTGATATTTAGGGTCTAGCGTTATATCATCATGGTGATATTTTATATAACCCTTAAATTTATTATATTTTTAAAATTTTTATATATAATAAAATCTTTAATAAAAAATTTTCTTTATTAATCAAATATAATTAATTTAATTAAAAAATTATTTCATTATATAAAAAAGAATTAATAGAATTATAATTATAGATCTTAATAAAAAACTAATATATAATTTTTGTATTTTTTATTATTTTATAATCATTAAATACAGTGGCCCACAAAAGAAACGCAAGTGTGATTGGTTACCTTTGAACGGCTATAACTCATCAACCACAAATGC